CAGTGCCGCCTCAAATGGTATCTATATTAAGTTTTTTTTCAATTTTTTTTTTTTTTTTTTTTTTTTTGTAAATTCTCAAAAATTTTATTTTTTCCCTCTGATTTCAATTTACAGATGATGCAGTTAGGACAAAGTAATATTGCTAGCAATAACGGCTGGAGCGGTATGATGACGCCAAATCTTCAACCAGCTCCTGGCAGTAATCCTTTCTTCAACTTGACAGCACAACAACAACAAACTGCTGCATTTGCCGCTCAAGTATGTAAATTTTAATATCTTGATTTGTCAAAAAAAAAAAATATGTATATGAGTGCTAAGTTTTACAATATAATTTCTAACAATATTTCACAGTTGCCACAACAAATGACACAAATGTCACTGGGCGAAATGAACTTCGCTCCTACAACGGGAAAACCTGCTGCCGCGGCATTACCCGGACAAACTCTTTCCACCAACTTGTGGCAGTAAAAAATAATGTGGATAATTGTTAGAGCCTGTTGATTATATCATTCTATGTTATATACTAGTGTCAACAATTTATTCAACGTAATAAGATTTCCATGCCCGTACGTCTCAAGCGTCGCTTCGGAAAATAGAACTGACAGTATCAACCCAGAAACAGAAAAAGAAAAAGAACTTATTTGTACGCTGTCTGATACGAAATATAAATCTTGAGTAGTGTTTTGAGTCAAATATTTTTTTCTCTGAAAGCTTTCATCAGCTTTGGATGGAAGAAGAACAAATAAAGTTTTTGACTAATGATATTTGTGTGACACTGAATAACCTTACGGTGCAAATTATGTTGCTAATAAGAGCTTTTTGTAATTACGATTGAAGTATGTATCAGGGTCCATTTTCAGTGTAACGAAATAGTCAATTTAAATCAATGATAAAAACATGAAATGATATACTTTTAATTAACTTGGATTTTGTTGCTATCAGTTTCTGTGTGAAGAAACGCGCGCTCTGAGTTTATTCGTCAGGATGAAAATTTGTACAATTATATTAGTGCTAATATGAAAAGAGTCCGTGTTCTCGTAACTGATGGCAGTGAAAATTGAGTTTTCTAAAATTTATATCGATTGGAAGCTCTGATTTAAATAGAAATATACGTGTACAAGTTTCGTCAGAAGTGTTAAAAAAGAAAAAAACAAGACTTCGATCTTCAGCACTTATTTTTAAGGTACTATAAATGACACGTGCAATATGTGTCCACATTTATTCTGTATTATTGATGAATAAATGCAAGATATAAATGCGAGATGTAACGCATTTTATTTGATTAAGATATCGAATGTTACTGTTGTAATAGTGATCAAAAGAAATTTAGCATGTTTGAATATTTTAGGTATCTAAGTATTTGTGTAAAAAAAAAAAAAAATTGTGAATCATGTAACTGGTGCTAAGAAAATTCTGAAGCATTTAGATCTTATTTAACTTTATATTATAATTAAACAATAACGCGAAAACACTCTCTTTATATAAGATGTGTTCTTCAAACAAAACCATTTTAAGGACGTACTTTACATCTGCACAGATAAGTAGATAACAAACAACTTTACTGTTTCTTTTATATCTTTTATTTGTATAAACCAATATGTTTCTTTTGCAAACTGAGGTAATATTTTTTTTAAGTACTGTAACCAGCGCACTATTTATTATCTTTGTTTATATATGTAGCACACTTATAGAAAATCTCAGTTGGCGACAATAGTTATTTAATATTATTCTATGTAATAGATTTCTCGAATACTTGTAAAAGGCACTACTTAAGTGTAACTACAGCCTGATCTTCAAAACACCGATGCAGCGAGTCTATTCTGTAACTTTTTAACGCATGTATTATAAAGCATAGTGCTCGCGTTTGTATCTATCAAACGGAGTGTATTACAATACTCGTTGCGCAACGATTGTTAACGATACGATACGTACGTAACGATAACAAAATAATAAGTTACAGAATATAAGTGAGTTGGCCATGGGCAATTGCCTTTATATTGCGACATTGTATTTGAAAATACAGAGACATATGATATTTTTTTTATCACATATTTCCATGAAATAAATCACTTTTATGCGATTACTGATTATTCATGGAATTCACCAAAAGAGACTTAATAATGTTCACACACACCTTTATATTATTGTTGCCTACAGTATCAAGCTCTTATTAATATGAATTATTTTTGTTATAAGCAATTATAAATATAATGTATTTGTGTAATTCAAATATAATTAAATTTTATTGTATATACTCTATATTGTATATGTATCTCTCATTACTGATCATTCACAAGAGTATTAAGTAAAACATGCGACATCTCAAACATATATATATATATATATATATATATATATATATATA